CATTTCAAGCATAAAACCGGTTGATACGTACACAAGGGTGATATTACTCCAAAAATTCAACTAAATATTGAAATATACACAGAACCCTACCTCAGAGCTAAAATATGTAAATTATTATAGCACTGTGTTTATGTTGTAGTGCACGGATGACTAACAATAGTCTGATAAAAACAACAATGTGTGTTCTTATTTCGATTGTTTTATATTCACAAAAGCTGACGCGAATCAACTCCCGTCACGAACGTGTTAATAGAATGGGTGCAGAGATGGGAGGTGAATGAAAATCCAAAAAGAAAAGATATGTTTCGATCTAACCTTTCCTTCACTCTTTATGGTGATTTGAACACGCGACTGTCTGGATCAGCTACTCAAGTAGAGCCTCTATACTCATCGACCGACCTCCAAAGACCCAGACGTAATGCAGACTTACCCAGGCTACCAAAGATTCGTAACAAGTGAAGGAAAGCTCTGGTACTCCGTTCTGAAACGATTCCACTTCCAAGTCCTCGAAATACTCGACCGATGAAGCCTAACTATCATCTACAAAACTTCAGGATCCCCTAGTGCGTCTCCAATGCGACTTAGACTCCCAAAAGACCCATTGCAAGATTCTCCCACTCTCACTCTCACGTTTGAGCTACCAAGTTCGTAAACCCTTCGGCACCTATGAGCGATGGGCACCCAGGTCCTTTGTGTCCAATGAACGGGAAAGGGCAGTCGTAGTGTACCTGGAGCCCTTGAGCAAGCTACACCGGTTAAAAAGACGATCCTATCGGAAGTGAAGGATGATCCTGGTTCACGATCGCGGATCACAATGATCTTACGCCCACGAGGATCTATTCGTGGCCGGCGAGATCCGCGGATCTTGCGGCGTTGCGATGAATTTATCCGAGCTGAGATCCTCGCCAGGATATAGCCGCGGTACACACGTCGGTGCACTGGTAGACTCGTAATGTGCGGTCGTCGGTTCCGGTACAGCCGCCTATCTGAATAGTTGGTCGCGCGATCGCTGTTCGACGCTGGGAAACGATAAGGGTCCCGTGACATCGACGGTCTGCCAATAACGCCTCGATATCGGCGTTACGATTACTCCGCGGCGCAGTTAATTTACTCGTTACGCGAGCCCTTCAGCGGCCCTCGAACGATCGTCGGTGGGACGAGACGTTCATCGAGAACGGTAGAGATCTCTGGCAGATGGATCTCTAATGAATGGGAAAACGGAAATTGGTAAATTGAGCGCGTGGAGAGAATGGGTGTTTGGTGCGAGGCAATTATTTAAAGGATGACTGATCGAGCATTTCGCGAGGAGACGTTTCAATCGTCGTGTTCGAGTTGTTTTTTTATCTGTATGCAGATATAGAGAATGGAAGCTGTTAGGAATGTTAAGAAGAAACTGAAGCAGGTGCACGTGGCTGAAGAAATTTCAGTTAGAAGTGATTCTATGAGATGTGGAAGGGTTTAATTTTGTGTTCATGTAGGCTCTCTAGGTTCATTACTTTTTGGTACCCTCGCGTTATTGTATAAGTATTATAGGATGTACGACACATCACTTTCTCTACAGTGACTTTCTCACATTTCTTTATCACGCCATCATTGCATCACAAAACAATGTAGAGGTGCATAAACGTCGAAACGTCTCCGTACCAAAACACCTGATAAGACAACTTTTAATGATTAAATTTGTATCTGTTCCCGATGGAACATTCCATTCGACCTTTAATCTCCATTCGATCTCCAATTCTAATATTTGTTTTTTTTTTCTACAGATAAGAATCGAGGACGATCGACATTGGGTCGAGCACAAGGTTCATTAGCGGGACAGCGTGTTTCCATGAAACGTTTCGATCGTTAGCGTATTCGTCGCTGATAAAATTCGAAACGAACTGCGAGCCTTTTAAGCGAGTATTGATTCTTTCGAGTGCATGTGTTTCCGCGGACAAGGCCGAGCGAGTCGTTTCCCGATGCTATCTGCCTATCGCGGCATGGGACGCTTTTCAGGGAAGCCACGTACACGGATTATCGCGCAGCGGTTTCTTATCTGCACGTGGATCATGAAAATGTCGCCTCCGCGACCTGTTTTCCCTCGGAATCGATGCTTCGATCGGGCTGCGACACGAAACTCGGTCGGACGCATTGTTCTCTGATAGAATGACTGGTAAAATAAAACTGACTCGCGCTGGAGAGCCTATCGAGCGCCTATCGATCGGTGATAAAGGTTGATTGGTGGTGTAATAAATTTAAATTACAAGGAGGACCCAAAAAGGCAGAGTTTACGTGGGATAGAGATTCTAAAATCTGGATTTTGTTTTTTCTTCGGGAACATATGTACGAGTGATCTTGATTTAAAAAATAGTAAAATTCATACTAATTGAATCTTCGTATTCTACCTACGTCGGTGTTTACTTATTATTAAACTGTGGATGATTATACAAATTCATATTCTCATAGAACCAGAAAAGGAGTTGAAACTTAAATAAAAATACGTCTCTTCTGAATGATACACCACGTGTATTATTATCGATAGTTTATCAAAAATATATAAAATTCATGAAATGCATAAACATCCACGGCTTACTTTTTAGCTAATTTTCCCATTTATCTGCGTTCATACGAGACCAAGATTAAAACCGTAACGTTCTTTCGTCACAGTGAGCTAAAGGTTGCAATTCCAACGTCACCGTGGTGTTCCTGTTACTTCCAAGAATCATTAACCGAATGATTAACCGCGTCCCAGACGGTGACATCACGAGGACTGGCTTTCAACGCACAAAGAACACGCGCAATTGTCGACGATAGGACGTCGCAAAAAAATGTTTCAATTTGTCCACGTCGCGACAGGGTACACCGTATGGATCGACTCTCGAGCGGCGCTTGGCGGCAGTGTTCGATGACTTTTGATATTTAATCCACGAAGACAGGCACCGCTTTCCCTTGCAAGAAATCGAAGAGCACAACGGAGCCACGTTGCGTAATCTCGCGTAACGCCGGGCACGAGCAACGCTCGATCGAGCTGAAGCCGTTGCGCACCTAGTTATAGATCGCTTGCACGGACGGTCGCTGGAAAATCGGAAAGAAAACAGCCGATTTCAACGTTCGATTCGCCGCGTGGCACGCGATCAGAGCGTCTGCACGGTTTTCTCCACCGAAAACGAAAGTCATCGCGCGCTGCTCGCGAAGAAGCGCCTCGTGGCCTCGATGGAGGACCCGAGGCTTGCTTCGAATCGAATCGGGTGTTAAGTATAAAGTTTTACTTGGATTTGAACTTAACCCTTTGCACTCGAGGCCTTTTTATCTGGTATCTGTCGAGATGCTTTCTTAGCATTCTATTGTCACGAATGCTAAGCTTAGATTGACTTCAAAGATGAGATCTCTAATTTGAGATTGGAAAATCAGATCACCTTTGCTTCAATCATTTTATTGACACTTTGAGTTTCAAAGAAATTAAACCTAAAGGAAACCTAGTGGTGACTGAGAGTCACCTCTCGAGTGCAAAGGGTTAATTTTCCACCTGTATGCAATTCACACGTTCCTAAAAGGGAATCTAAAATTCTCTAAATACCTCCTAGGGTCAAGAGTACTGTACAGTTTTAAGATAAACACCACCAGTATTAATTATTTACATATATAACAGTTAACCAAATGGTACCCCGGCTGATCACCAGTTAAAATTTCATCGATCCTAGAAGATTGAAATCTCCGATCCTAGAAAAAGGTGCTCGATGCTCCTCCGTCTCTACAATTCGTCGGAAGAGGTCGATCTATTCGACATTCCCCGTGGCCGCGGTAGGAGAAACGCGCGAAGGAGGTTGTTCGCATCGCTGAAAGGAAGCTGCGTGGTCTCGTGACCTTGAAGTACGTATTCGCGTCACCCTTGAACGCGAACCACGGGGCCAGCAGAAGTACAGTCGTATGCTTAACCGATACATGCACTTATCTTCTATGGTACTCGAACGCTGAAAGGCAGGAGCTGCTATAAGTACATGCAAACCGAGCTCGAAATAACTCTAGCTCTCCGTGGTCTACGGTCGCGTCGCAAGGTCGGAATCATCGATTCGAGAAGATCCCCCGGCTAATTAAAGCGTCCCCGTCCTCGTTCGTTGCGAATCGATCGCCTCGCGTCCCTTTTCGAGAAAGAAATTCCGTCGCGCGATCCGTTATCTCCTCGGGACCGTTTCCGATTAAGGGGTTACACCACCTCGGGGACGGAAAATAATCGTGATACTTGGCGAATTAATTGCGCTGGAACTGCACGCTCGATACCACTGCGCTTGCACTGCGCGAATGTTCATTGTTCGCAGAGTGAAGGAATATTTTTGGCTTTCTCGAAGGAAGACTTTTTAATTCGAGATGGCGGCCTTACGAGGAAAGGTGTTTCGAGGCACGTGGCGCAATGGGGATGGAATTTTGCTCTTCGTTGGTTCGAACTATCGTTGCACGAAGAAAAGGAATTTTTCAAATTGTTCGAATGGTGCAACCCTTTAAGTCGGAATGAATATCTACAAACTCCCATTCCCAACTGGTGTCGGTAGTTTTACTCCTTCTGGAAACGTGTAAATTCAATTAAAGCTACTACACTTACTAGCAGAGAAGGAGCAGATGTACTTTGACGAAACGGTAAATAGTAGCACTAGAAAATACACCTGCTGTTCGCTTTGCTGGAACCAGTGGCGCTAGTACAGGTGGGGCACTAGAACTATACGTAGGCGCCAGTCTAAGTAGCACAGGTGCCAAAACGACTACGAATTCAAACCGAATCTACGCGTTTCCAGATCGAGTCACACCTGGCGCCAGTTGTAAAACGCTCAAAACCCCGCTTCGTTCGATAAACTATCGTGCCCGATTCGCCATGCTCGTTTTCTTGATCTTTGGCGCAACTGAAATTTCAACGAAAGCAGAAACGTACGAGAAAATCGGTACAAAGAGATCGGAGGTAGGGTCGGTTGCATAGGGTGAGGGGGTTTGGGGCTGGATGCATGCTATTAGTAATAGTGAAGACGTACCCTGTACCAAGTGGCCACCTGCGAGGCGCTCGAAAGGGGTGGAGAAGCGGTGGTATATCCGCGACGCAACGCACACACCGGAGGTGGAGGGTGAAGGTCGGGCCCGAGGGCGCGATTTTTGTATGGTTTTTTTTTCGATTTTGAGTCGATTTCGCGCGTGCGCAGTACGGGGGTGCGTTCGAAGAGGCGGGCCCCAACAAGACGATAGCACAGGTGAAGTGGTGGTTGGTGGTAGTTCGGTGATGGTGGTGGCGGGTGTAGTGTATTCGCACGCCCCGTGCAAGTGAGGCAAAAGCAAAAACAACAACAACAACAACAACACCACAGGTCAGAAAAATATACACGATTAATATAAATTCGTTGGGACACTCGCGTGTCTTTCAGTGCGTATAAGTACTAATAATATATCTAACTTAACGATGCATACATACGTATAGCTACTCGATTCTATGCGTGTGTATGCATGTCTATTATACTTTTACATGGATCACGAACGTGTGCGGATGGATAGTGTTTGTGCGTGTGTGACTGTTCCGCGAGAATCGCCCGGAACTCGTTCGATGACCTCGGAAAGCGTGGATCCGTCGAGAGGGACTTGGATTTTCCATCCTTTTGAAAGCTTTCGCGCTTCGATAGACGGTGTGTCCTGTTTACATCGTTCCCCTCGAATATCTGTGAATTTATCGACGACGAGACCAAACGTTTCAGAGGAACGCTGAATGGTTTCGAGAAGGACATCGTTTGATGCAATTTATTCTGTAGGTGGATACGCGCAAGTTCAATTTCATAACGTTCGATGCAATTACGTGCTCCTCAAAAGCATTCAGGTTACGGTGGAAACACTTAACGGTGCGGTCAACGGATTCGTAAATATTCCAGGGGAACCATTTACGCAGGCATCCTCTCATTGCCGAAGAGCTTTGAAAATTTGTAGGCAGAGATGAGCAAAATTATTTTCGAATCACATATGACGAGTAAACCCGACGAGTAGCAATTTGCTCTGACACTGGTCGATCAAAGTATTTTTACCGAAGGTCGTATAACCTTCGCGTTCATTGACGATAAATTACGTTAATATGTTATCGTCAATGAATATCGAGGGGCTGGGTTATCAAGACCTTGGACGAACTAGTATCAACTGAATTCGATTGACGTATTCTGTCGTTCGATTCGAATTCTTGCTGTTACTCTACATCCAACGAGCGAGAAGGTGTTTCACATTCGATTCGTCATCAAAAATTCGTATGCAGATAAAATTCGAACTCATCTCCGCGCACCTGGCGTACCGAGAGTAGCAACAAATGCTCGATTCGCGTTTGGCCTGCGGACTCCACGCTCCAATACGACGACTGAGCGCGTGCAGCGGTCGATTAATAGGGTAGCCAATTATCAATAAAGGCGAAAGTCCGCGCGGAATGCAGGTGAACGTATCCAGCGGTAAGTCGGTTACGGCTGCGAATATCCGAGGCCGAGGCACATTCGACCAAGTCTTTATCGTTCGTCATCGAACTCGTTCCGAGAACAGGATCTGCTGCGGGGGCTGTTCCGAAGCGGAAGACCGTCGAGGAAGGTGGCGAGGAAAAACGGGAGACGCTGGCAAAGAACCGAAGGCTGTCAGGAGAGAATCGATTCTCGTTTCGTCGAGAATCCCTGACTTTCATATTTCTAATGTATTTTTAGGCTACCCCTGGACAACCTCCACGTTTGTAATCTGTATGATCCATTATAATTAATAGATTCGTTATTGTGTATTTGAATTTAGAAATTTGTATGGAGCATATTCGTTATAAATGTCTTTCTTTCGTTTGAACATCTTCGTTTCATTTGCAGTATGATAATTTCGTTTATCGAGAGTGTCAGTTTCCGGAGTGTTCCACTATTTGTTTCAAACAGAAAGTTGGATCATGACACCATTGTAAATGTGTGCAATAAAATAAAGTGACTTGGAATGAAATTTGAATGAACTTTTCTTCAAATGTCCAGGGTCTGCACGGTACTACCAAACACTTTAAAATTCAGAATTTCTTTTCCAAAGAAGCTTTCACTTCTGTGTTCCCTAATACCAAGGAGAACTGACCGTATAATAAAATTCATTTGGCAATTATTCCAGCAGACCTTCGGATTCCTTTGCCAGGCTTCCCTCGCGATAGAACAAATGTGGACCAAAACTGACACGAAGCAGAAGCCACGCATGTGCCTTCTAGTTTCTATTTCGTCTAAGGTATACTCGTGTTCAGGTGTCGTTGTCAGTGAGTGCGACTAATACGTGCCTCCTGCGAGGTCTCGAAACCCTTCGGAGCCCGGGAGGACGCGTGGTCGATCGCGAAGCGGAGCGCAGGACCTTCGGATTCGCGTGTTCTTTCCTCGTATAAATTTTCGTGGCGAGCCAACGCGTGTCTCGTTACTCCTACCGAGTAAATCTCCTGATAAATAAAGCAAGACGTTCACGAACGGCCGCGCACGGTAGCGTTTCTTCTCGGTGCAGATCTCTTAATCCTGCGCGCTTCGTGACTTTCCGCGGGCTCCGGGTACGACTGGCCAAGATGGAAAAAAGAGAAAGAAGAGCCGGGAAGCCCGATCCGGCCTTGCCTCGGGAACCCTTTGCTGCGAGCCGAGTCGGGAGGGAGTTCTCTGCAATTTCGCGAAATCAGCATACAAAGTGGCAGGCTGCCGCGCGACGATATCTGTGTACTTTTGAGAAAGCACGATCGAGTCCTTGGAGGTGCTCGTGACCGATTGCGCGTCGCCGATGCGGAGGACTCCGATCCCAGATACGGCCGAGCATTTTCTTCTTTTAAGAATACTGGATGGATCGGAACCAACGTGAAGCGTTGGTCGTATTTTTATTCGAGATTTTTAATTTGGGAGATTTATAGTCAGTCCCATAAATATTCATCCCTCCATGTTTGTTGAAGAAATTTGTCTAAATTAAGTGATAGGTTCGATGTTACTCTTGAGCGATGTACATACAGTCAGTCCCATAAGTATTCGTACCCTCTATATTTATTGAAGAAATTTGTCTAATGTAAATGAATGCTTCATGATTCCAAATAAATTTATAATTTTATATATATACATACATACATACATGTACATGTCTAAATTAAATGATAGGTTTGATGTTTGAAAATATTCATTATAAATAAACATGTACTTGTGTGACGTTTATTAATGTTCATATTTATAACGAAGCATTTATTTAGAAACATCTAACCTATAATTTAATTGAGACTTTCTTTAATAGACATAGAGGGTACGAATACTTATGGGACTGACAGTATATTCGTGAAATAAGGGCGCATCAGACTTGGTAATTGGATAACTGTAGCTTTTGAATTTTTTATCCATATGCTTAGGGCCTCTTCAAATATTTACCAACACATACATTCTCTAGGAATAAAAGTATTTCTTTAGGCAATTCAAGAAAAGTTGAATCAGAGGAATTCGTCAACCTCGTTCAAAGTTAAAAAGAAAAAGGCTGTATCTGCAACACTTCTGGATTTAAAAATGAGCATCCAATCGTACCAATAAACCTCCCACGCCTATTCCACGATTGTCCTTCGATTGTAACGAAAGAATCTTCTCTCGAGGCTCGAGCGTGGGTCTGCCCGACTCTTCCAGGCCTGCAGGGGCGTTCTAGTGGAATGGTAACGGATTCCCGCGAGATGTGTAGTCGGAAGTGAGCGGACGCTAGGTAGAACGAGCTTACCTTGGGCAAGGATGCGAGGCATTGCTGCTTCACGTCCCAGACAAGCTGATCCTTCGGGAACTGAAGACACTTGCTGACGTAAAGCTCCGGGACGTGCACCCTGGCGAGAAGGACTCCCTCCTCGACCGGTCCTGCCTCCGCAGTTGCAGCCGCGACTGCAGCCGCATCTTGATTCTGTTGACCTTGAGCTTGGCCTTGAGTCTGGCCGCCCTGCGGACTCCCGACCTGGCTCGGTGTCTGTCCCGTACCAGCAGGCGACGAATTTTGTTGCTGCTGCTGCTGCTGCTGTTGTTGTTGTTGTTGTTGTTGTTGTTGTTGTTGTTGTTGCTGCTGCTGCTGTTGCTGTTGCTGCTGTTGCTGCTTCGGTCCCGCCTCCATTGCGAGGACCTCGCGCTGCTCGAGGATTCCACCTTCACTGGCTCACATCTGAAAAGGAAACGAGATGGGTATTATAAACACTTGCAATGTTTGTGCAAAATTATTTCAACTGTGTTCTAGTTGTAGGTCCTCTATATTTGCCAATATTATTTTCAGTAAAATTATTTTTCAGTCCACAAACTAAAAGGACCAAATGCTTGAAATACCACGTATTTGAATTTCACGATCACGTGGTTAACCAAAGCGATCGCCAAATAAAATTAAGGTGTCTTCCTTAATTCATAAAATTTGAAGTGCTTCGTCGAGATCCTGATTAAATAAAACATTTAAGAGATTCGCGCATCTTCCTTATTACTTCCCCGTTTCCACGAAACACGAGTTAATCGCCTCGAGTGTGCCGTTACCGTAATACTGCTCCGCCGAATCGAAAAGATATCTGGGAGGAAGATCTCGAGGACCTGCGAGCGGTGACATCGTGGACGAGAGAAGAGGGGGTTGATGACGATGAAGAAATTAAAACAGCCGGGATGATTCGCTGTTTATAACTCCGGTAAGTAACGGTATAAGAAAGACGAGATTACCGCAATGGAAATAAAGAAACGGCGCCGAGACGCCGCGCCATGACGATTTTTAAGGATCGTAAAAGTCTTTTATGCTTCGTGCCGTGCACGACGCGTCTCGCTGTATTTCTTTCGCACGAACTGCCGTCCAGATGTACCGTGTGCAATTTATAAAGGGTGCAGCGAAATTATTATCATAGTATATCACTTATTAGCGGCTTTAAAAACTGATCGACTCCTTGAAAATATTCAAGACTGACAAACCTCTAAAAACATCGACACTTTGGTAGTTGATACTGGAGACATCGTTTCTATCGTACCACCTTGTAATTTATAATGCAAAAATAAGAGGAGCTTAAGTTACCACTTTTCTGCTTTCAAAATTCTCAAAAAGAATGCAGCACCTCGAACGTTTCATACCAACCCTTATGAAAATGTCCCAGCAAAAGAATTTTTATCTCCAAAATTATTAAACATACCAATTCCAATATTTTTTATTTCGATTCTAAGATGATTGTACTTTCAAACAAAGTTTTACCTTCATTCCTCAGACGTGGAGAATCGGAAGAATTTATTCCCGACAGTTCGGGTGAGTATTCGAGGCGAGGAACTCCCGAGCAAACACGTCGTTTCGTTTCGCGCCAAGGGATTACGTGGCACGTTCGTCGCGTGATCGAAGAAGCGTTGGGTCCGCCGTGGTGTCCAGGATACACGCATCGAATCGATTATGCAGACGTACGTAGGCATGTTCGCGTTCCCCGCGCGTACCTGCGAGCTTCTCTCGCTGACGCGATAACGCGCCTCATCGTTTTACAATCCGACCTCCAACCTCCGGGGGTTAACTATCGGTCAGCGATAACTTACGGCCCTAACGAGCGCCTCGCGGCTCGGCACAGTCGCTTTCACTCGAAACGTTCAAGCAGATGCGAACGCCGTGACTCTCGCGTCGACGAAACTCCTCAAAATCGACTAGAAGGATTTTTTAGGATGGTGAGGTGAATTTTTTGAGTGGGTCACTATGAGTCACAACGCGTCAGAATGAAATACATTGTGACATAATGCGTCAGAATGGATCATATTATGTCATAACGCGTCAGAATGGATCATATTGTGTCACAACTTGTCAGAGTGGAGCACACTGTGCCACAACGCGTCACAAGGAAACACATTGTGTCACAACACGTCAGTTTTGATCACATCGTATCATAAAGCGTTATATCTCGCCATATTGCGTGACAATACGTCGCAACATCTGACAAAGCATCGCAATCCATCGCATCGCGTCACAACGCATCATACCGCGTCATACATCGCCATAGTACGTCACATCTCGTCATACCATCCTATCTGCCAGCGTCCTAACATAATCTACATTCGTCTCCTCGCGAGATTGTTCGGTGGTGCGAGGCAGATGTTTCAAACGATGAGAAGAAGCGTCGTTTCTTCTCCGAGGCGAGATCGTCGTCGTCTTAATGAGAGTGCAGTGAGAACGCGACTTGGATACTTCGCGGAGTTTCGTGGCTCACCGCGCATTGTCTAGACAGCGAGTTTCGCTTTTGCGGCGAATGCCAGGGCTGAAGGGAGCCGGAAGTTGCCACGAGGAAACGGTATCGTTGCGAACCGTGAACTAGCTATTAGCCGTCCAATGCGTCGCGAGCACACGCCGCGAAACAGACTTTACTAATTACCCCTCTGTCAAACTTCAACGTACGGACACGGACTGTCTACGATAGCTCCTCCAGCACTGACAGCTGCTGCCGAGGAATGGGAAGCGCCGAACTTGCGATGGAGAACTTCTTCAGTTTGGAAAGACTTGTATTGTGATACATTCGGCACATTCTATTTTTTGAGTATAGCGTAGCTTTAGAGTAGACATTTTTTCTCTGAATTGTACACGAGGAATTTTAGACAGCGAACCCCTACCTTTTCCTACGCAATTAGGTACAACTCGTTTTTCAAAGACGGAACATACACTATATATATCGTGTATATCTTGATCCTTCGAAATGTCTACGTGTAGCTCATACTGTACATTGTCCGCGTTCCCTTTACTCACGGTGCCACATTATTCTCAACCCAGGAGCCGATTTTTCCGGTCACCTGTACAATGCATCGCGCGCATGCGATTCGACTTGCGCCGTATTCAGCTTAGGCGAAAAGCTCCAGAACGAATTGACCGCGTGAATCGTGGACTTACCGTGTCCTGCTTACACGCTTCGGAGTGTTCGAAGGCAGCGCAGCCCGAGATGTCAGGTGGCACGGGGAGAAGTTTGATGGCAAACCGCAGACGCCATTAAATGTAACCGTCTTGCCGGCAGGCTCGGCTGCGTTAAAACTTTAAATAACCCACTGACCGCACCGTGTATAGATACACGTCTTACGCTTCGAGGACAATAGACCCAAAGGAGCTCCGGACCAAGTGGAAACGCCCGCAAGGTCGCCACCATCGCGCCCAGCCCAGAAAAACACTCATCCTTAGGCGTTAATATTCAGCCGACGAAAAGGATTTTCCTTTCTCCGGCACGACTTCCCTTGCCCCCCACCATTCCCGTTGCTGGAAGAAAGAACGCTGCCATCGAGCCTACGGAATATGAAAAAGAATGGAGACTCGATGGAGGAGGCGCGTCTCGTTTCTTGGAAGTCACGCGATCCGCTCGCGTTAATAATTTCGTTGCCACCGTTCGCGCTCCCCGCGACCACGATTATCCTACTCGACATCATCGACGACCAACTCGCAAGAAAATGAAAACAACGTTAATGCACGGTGGACACGAGACACCGCGCGATATCGACTTGACGCCTCGACGAGCATGCTCCGAAGGATGGCATTAAGTCGTTTGGGACCTTTTGGTCCAGCAATGATAGAATGTTGCCACTTTAACCGGAGCACCGGGTGGGAACACCTTCGAGGAGGACTCGAAGCTGTAGACCTTAACGCTTGTGTCATCTGACTCGTGGACTTTTACTTTGAAAGTGCTTTTAAAGTTACTAATAACATATATAAGAATATTCTATAAAAATTTCAAGTCGATGGGGTCAGTACTTTCCAAGAATGGTGGCCAGCTGAGAACACCTAGTACGAAAACCTAGTAGCCATTTTATATAAATACACTCCAAAGTGTACACACTTGCGTGTCCCCAAAATATTGCCATGCTTCTATCACTCTATAAAATTTAAATGCTTTATATATGCCAAAAGGGTAGTGTGCATTTCCTGCAGAAAATTCATGGGGATCCTCTTGTTTAGGGTCACTGTAATTTCTTCGAGAACGAACGACTAATTTAACGAGTATTTTGGCGTTTACAGTGAGCCAATTGCACCGATATCGATACACTACCGCTTTTTCCAGCCGACTAATCGATTATCAGAACCCACGAACGCGATATCTGCGCGCGAGACGAAGAGAAACAAAAGGAACGGCCACAAGAAAGATAATAAGAGGGAACGGAGGGAGACGATGATGAACTGGAGGAACATCGTACGGATGGACGGACAGCAAACGCATCAATGACAAGCCGTAAATCATAGTTTTACGACCCGTCTTTATGTGGCCCTTATTCGTGGCACTCAACGGTGGAGTGCCTTCGAGATTTTTCTGTCTGGCCACCCTGTGTGTAGCGCACTCAGGGCCGTACGACTGCACAGGTAAAAACGGGCGTGTTTTCACAGGCCTCGCGAAAGAGAACTCGTCGCCTCTAAGGAGGACTCCGTGGTTGACAATTTCACTTTTGTATCGGAGGTTGTCGACATTCGAGTGGATCGAAAAACTGTGGCACCTAACTGAAGGGTGATTTCTGGTGACTCAATTAAAATTTTATATATACTCTAATAAACCATATGTTTCAAAAAATTGATTTCATTCAATACCCCGTACCTCATGTAGATAAAATTCCAAAGGCCTTGGATCAACACGTCTTTTTAAAGAATCTCTCGTATACTCTTCTACAATTCCAGAGATTGAAATCCTAAACGACGAGCCCAGACAAAAATAATCCCAGTCTCAATTCAGACCTAAAAAGTCTCAAGGATCGTCAAACATTTTTTTAAACGAGCGTAGACGATTGGAGAATCGTCTTCTTTCGCGAAGAGGCGAGGTTCGCTCGAGTATTCTCAGCTCCGTCCGCCCCTGGATGCACGTAAGTGCATATAGCAGGTACCCGCTGCGTGGGCGTCGCTTTACGGGTTTGCTTTTAAGTGGCCGTACCTTAATTCGAGAGTCACCTAACAGTGTCGTGCTTAACGGTGATTCGAGCGTAATTAAAAAAATCCAAGGCTGTCCGTGGAACTATGCCCGACGACGAAGGGGAGGAACGTCGAAGGACGACGAGGGTTAAGGTACGACCATGACATTCTCGATTCTACAGCCGTGGATGCTCGTTGCAACTATGCTGCCCACCTCTATGCTAACCCCCTAACGTTGGAAGTACAAAGGAGAACTCTCGCACGACCCAACGGAAACGCGTGAAGACTGAAGGTTCTCTATGTTC